CCCTGATGCAGCTCTGGGTGCTGGAGAAACCTGTGGAGACCCCTGCCAGCGCTGAGATGCTTACACTGCCACTGGATTCAAAGACTTTCTACCCGCTGGCCTGTGATCCTCCTGCATTCAGTGTCATTGTGTGTGTTTTGTGAGTTTGAGGAGAACTTTGTAAATCGGTGTCAGATATATGGGCTAAGTCAGGTTTAAGGGCTTGGATTGGACTGGGTTGGGATATTTTCTGAATGTATAGTTACCCCATATATAAACCTCTCTCTTATCCATATCTGAGTTTCTGTGGATTTGTTTCTCTAGTCTGCCCAGACTAACACACTGTCTGCCATTTCAGAGCGGTCTCTTCCCCGTTAGCATAAACTCTGTATCCCCTAAGGTTCCTGTTTAATTTATTAAACAGTTATTGTTCTCACCTTGATCCCATGCACCCAAAAGACTCACCATTGTCAAGTTGATCCCAATTCACAGGACAAATGAGAATGGCTCCTTTGGGATTTCTGAGACTGTAAATCTTGGAAGAGACAACCTCAACTTTCTCTTGGGAGGAGCTGGTGGTTTTGAACTGCTGCCCTTGCTATTAGCAAAACCCAGTGTTTATCCCCAGGGCACCCAGGGCTTCTTTGATCTCATATTGTTTGTTGCTAAAAGAAAATAACGTTTAAGGGAGACCTGTTTGACTAGCTAAGCTAGACATTTAGTTTTAAAGAAACTTCAAAGGATATTTTGTATATTCAATGTTTACAGATTCATTCGGGGCAATAGTTTCAGGAGTTTGCTCTGCAGCCACAGTTCCAGAAAATCTGGAGTCTATGAAAGTTTAAAATTCTGTCCTGTATTCCACCCTTTTTGATCAGGATTCTTCTATAGAACTTGGATCAAAATGTTCAGTAATGGTAGCTGGGCACCATCTAGTTCTTTTGCTCTCATGGAAAAAGACTTGTCCTAGATTTTAACATGCCAACCAAGCTAAATTTCTTAGAGGAGGGGATGCCCATACAATCTATACTATTCTAGTTTGACCTTGAAAACAACGCCATTTGTTTTTTAGCAGAGGATTAGAAGGGACGAATCACTTGTAGAATAGGGATTGACAAAGGGCAATTCACTGGGACAGTAAAGAGCATTTCTGAGGCCCATGGTGGTGCAAACTTCAATGTGCTCAACCACGAGCTAACGGGTTGGAGATTTGAGTCCATCGAGTGGTTTCTTGGAAGAAACACCTAGCAAATTTGCTTCTGAAAAATTAGCCATAAAAACCCCACAGAGCACTGTTTTACTCTGATCCATGTGGGGATGCCATGAGTTGGCAGTAACTTGACAGCTGGTTCTTTGATTAGCATCAGCCTCTCAAGGGAACAGCTCTGTATTATCTAAGTGTGGAATTAAATTCATTCTATTGTCACATCTCGAAAGACTCCAGAAGAGATCGATTGTAGATTAACACTGTGAGCTGAAGTTTTGTTTAAACCTGTTAAACATCAGTAGTTAATATGTGCTAGAGTCTGTTTTTTTCTTCCTGCAAATCATGTCTGCAAAGATCATAATTATAGTAATTAAGACTATTCTTTGCAGTCTTATTCACCTAAATGATTTTTGCATGATATCATGTACAATGCACACCTGTATTGCCTTTCAGAACTGGTCAAATAATGAAGGAAATGAAAAATATTTGAAATTCAGGAAACATACAACTTTCCTCTAATTCTTTAATGTTTCCTCACCCACCCACTCCCACCCCCCAACTATCGTGATCCCAATTCTACCTTACAAATCAGGCTAGACCAGAGGATGTACACTGGTACAGATAGGAACTGGAAACACAGGGAATCCAGGACAGATGAATCCCTCAGGACCAGTGGTGAAATGGCGATACCGGGAGGGTGGAGGGAACATGGGGTAGAAAGGGGAACCTATTACAAGGATCTATATATAACCTGCTTCCTGGGGGACAGACAACAGAAAAGTAGGTGAAGGGAGATGTCGTACAGTGTAAGACATGACAAAATAATACTAATTTATAAATTATCAAGGATTCATGGGGCGGGTAGGGAGGGGGAAAATGAGGAGCTGATACCAAGGGCTCAAGTAGAATGAAAATGTTTTGAGAATGATGATGGCAACAAATGTACAAATGTGCTCGACACAATGGATGTATGTATGGATTGTGATAAGAGTTATATGAGCCCCCATTAAAATGATTTTTAAAAATAAAATAAAAACTGATCTTGTGAAGAATAATAATAAATAAGCTAGCAGTAGAGATTGTGATGTGAAATAAATGTAAATTGTCAAAAAAAATGGGATTGTAAAATTGTATTCTGCATCAACTAATATCATCCAGCTATCTAATGCCAATGCCCAATCCTGTCTCGCCAATTCTCACTCACAGAGACCATATAGGACAGACCATAGGGTTTCTAAGGCTGTGATGTTTATGTGAGTGGACCTCCAGGCCTTTCTTCTGCGAGCTGCCGGTGGGTACCACCTGCTGACCTTCTTGTTTGTAAGCAGTGCTTAACCACTACACCACCAGGGATCCTCTTACAGCCAAAGTCGATGCAATATAACTTCCTTAAAAGTTGATTTTATGCTACCTTATAAATATCAGGGATTGTTTACATTTTCCTCTGGGACATCAACTTTCAAATTTATTTTCATTCTCTCCATATAAGATAAAATGCTATGGGAATGCGTATCTCTTCTAGGACTGTAATGGAAAACTAGCTTTCTGTATTCATAGAAACTTTCTGCTTCAGGAACTCTGTCTCATAACCCAAGTATATAATCTGTTAAATGAATGAGTGAGTAAGTAAAAAAATAACTTTATTACAAAAGCTGACTCTAAAAAATGGGAAAATAGCATGAATTTTAGGATGCATTTTTATGGAAATCAGTGGTTTAATTAAAAAAAATAGATGTGTTCTTTTAAAACGTTTCCTCTGGTGTTCAAGCAATCCAAGCCCCATCATTATCCCACAAGGCAGTTTACTCCAGGAAATAAGTCTTGATGGGTCTTTAATCTCCCAAGGATTCAACTCTAGCTAGTCTGTTTCTGGTCACAGCCTCAGTGACCCTTTTCCTTGTGCATGCAGAATTAGTTGTGCCTGGAGGCTCAGTGTCATGCTGTGTTGGTAGGACTTCAAGTGGAGGCCATTCAACCAAGTACAAAGAACAGGAGTAAATCCCAGAGATCAAAGCCTCCATGTGTTTCTGTTTGATGGGTGGATGCTGGGGGTGGGTAGAGGGCTGGGAACAGTGGTGGAGGAGGAAGACAGAATGGGGGAGAAGGGAGCCACAAAGGAGGAGCAATCCGAGGACGGTTAATGTGAGTTGGCAAGCCCAGTTATAAAAGTGGCTGAGGGTAAGAGTAGGAGGTAGGAAGTGGCAGAGCTTGGGTAGAAATGAGGTTCGTGAGATCCAAGGTCAGGGTTATAATTTAGAAACAAACAAACAAACTCACTGCCATCGAGCCAATTCTGACCTTGCAGGACAGAATAGAACTGCCTCTTTGCGTTTCTGAGACCTGATCTTTACGGGAGTATACAGTCTCATCTTTTTCCCGTGGAGGGGCTGGTGGGTCCTGCACCTCTATGGTTAGCAGCTCAGTGCTCTGTGCCACCAGGACTTCTTGAGAGAACATTGTGGCCAGCAATTGTTCTTGCCCTGAAGGAGCACACAGTCTATGGGAATAAAACAGGCGGTACATAGGCCATTGAAGCACAGTGCAGGCCAAGCTGTGAGAAGTGTAGCAATATCTTCAGAGCCAGGGACGGTGAGCCTGCTGGATGGCAAGGGGTTGAGGGATGGGTTGAGGGATGTGGGGGAGGGTGTTTCCTGGTAGAACGAATAGCAGACAGACACAATGGCACTGAGTTATAGGGCTATATTACAGCATGGCACCGAGTGTTAGGCTAATTGTGGCCTATCTGTGGCTTGTTTAGGAGATGACTTGTAGCCATGGTGGTAATGGTGAGCTGCAGGCGTGGGGTGGGGGTGGGGGCAGGAGGTTCATGAGGGGGCTGCTGGCATTGTGCAAGCAAGGAACAGCCCAGCTGGACTGGGGAGACAGGGATAAGGGTGTGGGAGGAGTCGTGTGTAGCTCAGGTTTCCCATCTGGGAGGCTTACAGGACATCTAAGAAAGGGACAGTTTGAGGGACCTCAGTGTTTGATGATAAGTCTGAGGAACCAGGAGGCATCCAAGCAGAGCTGAGTAAGTAGATAGGCAGATGGGCACATAGCTCTGGAGCTCAAGAGAGGCCTGAGAAGGAGACACAGACCTGGAGTTGAAAGCTATATGCAAGGGGGATGGGGGGGCGGGCAATGGGCTCGCCCTAGAAGACCCTGGATGAGTACGCAGCTAGAACACAGCACGAGAAGAGGAGTTGGCATAGAACAAGAAAGTGCCCACCATAAGCCCGGGGTGGCTTCAAATGCACAACTCACTTCCATTGAGTCAGAGTGACCCTCTACCACAGGGAAGAACGGCCCCTGTCAGTTCCTGAGACTGTAACTCTCTATGGAGTAGAAAGCCCCATTTTTCTACCTCGGAGCAGCTGCTGCTATTGAACTGCTGACCTTGTGTGTCACCGCATAACATTTACCTGTACGCCCCTAGGGCTTCTTGGGGTAAGACTAGCCAGAGAGAAACTGTGGACCGGCATGAGGGTAGCTGAAAAGCCAAGAAGAGGCTCAAGGAGAAGCACTGCTTCTTGATTTTGGAAAATAATTTTCCTTCTGCACCCCGACCCCCACCCACTCCATTTCAAATTGTTTTAAAAACATTGTTCTGGGGTTTTCGTGAGTAGCCACTGTAGAAATTGCTCCAGCGACAGGGGGTACTTCTATGGCTGACTTAGTGTTGGAAAGCAAACAGATTTAAATTCTAATGAGATATTAGTGCTGAGCAGAAAAGATGATAAAAACCCACTAGCATCTGAATGCATCGGTGGCCAGTTTAATGCAGTTTCTGAAAGAGCAAAACACTTGCAAGTCTTACCATGTAGATCATGAACTGCCAGCCAACAAAGAAATACTGTATTGTTCTTGCTGAGATCGCCTGGGTTATATTTGGAGCGAAATTCACCAATAAGTATGTTCCTGCAAATGCCAATGTCATACCTTAAAATAAAATGAAAAAGACCAAATTTTAGAGACTTAAGTCTTTTGTTCATGCAAACATTCTCTACAAATTGAGCATAACTTGTAAAGGGGCCAAATTGGTAGTCCCTCCCTATGGAAATGCTACTCAGCCAACTTCCCACTAAGGCAAACGATCCTACAGATGCAGTCACTGAAGGCATTGGCGTGAAGGGGCGATGAGGGCCAGGCAACAGGCGAGGGAAGACGACTATTGTTCCTGGTGACACCTAACCCTTCAGAGATGCTTTCCCGATGACGAGCGATATCAGAGCTTGCGCATACAGAGACATGAACGTGTGTTCACGTTGGGTGGTTGTTCCAGAGCCGTGTGGGCCATTAAGTGGATGGTGGCCTGAATCATCTCTATTGCAGAGCCTGAGGACAGTCAGGTCCCCCACCAAATGATCCATTCTGCATTTTCTCATCCTGGGAAAGTTTATACACATTGGGATGATTTCTCACATTTTGAAAGTCTGGTATCTAATCCCTGCTATGTACTGGAGTCTACCTTTGGCAGACCCCATGGGACCCAACAACAACATTAACAACAGCCTTGTGGTGGTTACATCATTTCGTGTCAACTTGAAGTGTAGGAGCCGAGTCCAGTTTGTCAATCAGGGCACAGCCTGATGGGGCCTCCATGTGGGCGTGACCTCCTTTAAGGAGGGTCCTGGGACCACCCCCACCCCCCTCTGCTTTACTTTTCTGCCATCGAGCCACTTGGAGACTTGCCAGAGCCCTGGAAATGTGTCCACTGCCATTGGAGCCACAAGACTTTGCACCCATTGGCCTGTGCTCTTGCTGCATTTTGCATCATTGCTTGTGGTTGGGTGAGTCTGAAGAGGGATTTTATAAGCCAGTATCAGAATCATGGACTTGATCTGGACCGGGCTGGGATGTTTTCCGAATATATTATTACATCTGGATATAAAGCGCTTTCTTACACATAGATGAGTGTCCTTGGATTTGTTTCTCTAGTCAACCCGGCCTAACACAAGTTTCTGGCAGGAATAACAAAGATGAACACTGACTCACTGGGGGATTTCGTTCTATCCCTCTAGAAGCTAGAACTGCAGGGTTCGTCCGGTAAAGACCGCACAATACGCCAAGGAAGAGGAGGAAGGAGCCACTGTCATCATGTTAACATGCTTATTGAACCTAAAATGATGGAGGGGGGGATGTGTGTGTGAGGGGTAACACAGCCCTATCACATTGAAACTGACTTGTTTATTTATGATTAGCACCCCCAAAATAACCCCAAATTGATATTGGCTGCATTTTTTCAGACAGCACATTTTAAAACATAATTCAGCCTCTCTCATCCCAGAGGCAGCACAGTGGTGTATGATCGACAAGCAGCGCTGACTCCAAACGGAAACTATCTTACAAACTGAAGGCACCAATTTCCCGCTCCTCTAAACACACGCTTCAGGTGTTTGAACTCTAGTGTCTCAGGACAAATAGGATTTGATTTTCACACCAACTAAACAATAGCCCCACACTCACTCACTGCCAAGAATTGGATTCTGACTCTGTAGTGACCCTATATGGCCCAGCAGCTCTGTCCCATGGGTTTCCAAGGCGGTAGATCTTTATGGTGGGCAGGCAGCAGTCCCTTTCTCCCTGGCGCTTGGTGTAGTGGGTAATACACTGGTGGGTCCTAATGGTGGGTCCCAATGCTTGGTGTAGTGGGCTATACACTGGTGGGTCCTAATGGTGGGTCCCAATGCTTGGTGTAGTGGGCTATACACTGGTGGGTCCTAATGGTGGGTCCTAATGCTTGGTGTAGTGGCTATACACTGGGCTGCTAGCCGCAGTACTAGACAGCTAGAAAAGCTTCCTCTAGTGTAACAACGCATTCATTCTGTGATACCTTGTGAGGACAGGGATTTTATACGCAACTTTAAACGCTGTTTCTAATGAGAACCTTTAAACTGAATAGCAATGTAAATGAGTAAGCATTATAATAAAAGCAAAATATTAAAATTATACAAGTATATACGAATTCGAGAAAATGTTGGCCAGTCGTGTTTTCTTGGTGGTAGGGGGGTGGGGTGGGGTGGCGTGAAAGATTGTATAGAGTTCAATTAGGTTCTTAGGAGGAAGGGATTATTAAAAACAACAACAACAAAAAACCACTTTCCTAAAAGTGGCAAAGGTTTAAAAGGACTTCCTGCTTGATGAAACAGAGGGGCAGGGAAAAGAGGAAGCCCCTCACCAAGGTGGATGGACACAGTGGCTGCCACAGTGGGCCCCCATGAGAACAATGGTGAGGCTTGCAGGACCGGGCAGGGTTCGCTCTGTTGTATGTGGGGTCACGCTGAGTTGGAACTGGCTCACTGGCACCTCACAACCACCGCTGCCACCAACTTGGCATAATAAAAGTAACATAAACAGACCGAGTACAATTTTTAGTCTCAGAGATTGCCAATACTTGATAAAAAGTTAAGTCCCCTTCACCCCCTTAGAGTCTGCTTGCTCCCCTCCTCAAAGTGACCTAACTATCATGAGATCCTGAACTTGCCCTTTCACAGACGTTTTACGTGTGTGTGTGTGTGTGTGTGTGTGTGTGTTCCTCCCCTGGTCCAGCCTCAGCTTCAACCCTTTCTCAACTGGTATCTCCCCCACCCCCACCCCTGTAGCTACCCTTCCCTGCTAGCCAACACCTGCGATCGACCCTGGCTCTGTCTCTTGTTCTTTGGTTAGATTACCACCAGTGTTCAGTGCCTATGTTCCGCTCTTTAGCACCTTGCTTGGCCTGACATGTGGTAGCCTGAAGAGCTGGTTTTGTTGCTGTTTGTTTTTGTTTCTTGATCCTCAGCCCGCGAGATTCCAGCTGGACTCTCTTGGTTCCTACAGTAGCTTTCTTGATCAAGAGGATCTAGCTCATGATTTCATGAGGGATCCACCATTCTAGAATGTGAGCCCTGGCAGGGCAGTGGTTACACGTTGGGCTGCTTGCTAACTTCAAGGTCAGGAGTCGGATATCACCAGGCACATCTCAGGAGAAAGACGGGGCTTTCTGCTCTGGCACAGAGTTACAGTCACAGAGGCAGTTCTACCTCGTCCTACAGGGTCACCGTGAGTCGGCACCAACATGACGGCGGCAAGCGTGGTTTAGTCACAAAATAAACTGGACCCCCTCCAATCAGTGCAATCTCTCCAGAGTCTTTAACCGAAGTTAGCTAGGCATCGGAGGTGCCGTCGGAGGTCTGGGACATCTCAATAGCACATGCAACCAGAAGAGTCTACGCCCCCCCCAAGAAAGTGTTTCATTCTTGCAGAATGTGGATTGTTGCAGATGCAGTTAGGTTAAAAAATTAGCACCCTATCATTTGATTTTACTTAGGATCCATTTAAATGTGTTCTAGCTTATAATATTATCTGCTTTCTTTGCGATTGAGGTTTTTAAAAGTCTGTTTTACTGTATTCTTGTTAGTTTTTTAATATGTTTTTCTGTACAGGACATCCAGGATGGGTAAATCTACTGAGACAGTAAATGGATGAGTGGTTCTTTGAGGGTATAGTCAGGAGCTCTGTTGTCATGGTTATGCAATGGACTATGAGCTACCTGGTCAATGGTTCAAAACCACCAGCAGCTCCTTGGGAGAAAGACGGAACTTTCTACTCCTGTAGACAGTTACAGTCTCGGAAACCCACAGGGGTCACGAGTCAGCACTGACTTGATGGCAGTGAGCTTGTTTGTTTGCGTTTGGTGTTAGGGTACGTCAGGAGAGGTTGGGGGAGAATGGGAGCGGATACCATTGAATACAAGAATAAAGAAAATGTTTCAGTGATGGAACTATTGAATCGCATGTATATTAATAATATACCAACAAAACTGTTGGGGGAAATGAAAAGAAAGTGTTTCATTCTTGAGGCAACCCTGAAGCCAAAGTAGCCATCTGTCTTCTCAACCAGATGTGATGGATGGTTGGCCTACGCGTGTATCTTAGATACTGGCCCCAACCCAAGCCGACATCTGGTGCAGGAAAAGCAAAAGGATGGTCTTCATCAGACTGCTGAAGCCTTCAGGACTCTCCCTAGGGAAGTCATGTACAGGTGACGTGAAGCCATCAGGTGACTGGTCTCTGGAGAGGGCTACTGAGTTGAGTGTCCTGTTTGTTTCTATTATGGTGCCACCAGGGTTGAAGTCACCCCACAGACTACTGGATCCAGTACTTCCAACGATGACAGAGAGGAGAGTGCAGAGAAGGCTTTCCTGTTGGCTAACCAAAGGGGAGAGAAACCTGGTCCTTTAAAAAAAATCATTTTATTAGGGGCTCATACAACTCTTACCACAACCCATACATACATCAATTGTGTAAAGCATATTTGTACATTCATTGCCCTCATCCTTCTCAAAACATTTACTCTCCACTTAAGCCCCTGGCATCAGCTTCTCATTTTCCCCCCTCCCTCTCCACTCCCCGCTCCCTCATGAAACCCTGATAATTTATGTTATTATTTTGTCATATCTTACACTGTCCAAAGTCTTCCTTCACCCACTTTTCTGTTGTCCATCCCCCAGAGAGGAGGGTATATGTAGAGCCTTGTAATCGGTTCCCCCTTTCCACCCTACCTTCCCTCCACCCTCCCTTCACCCTCCAGGTGTCGCCATTTTCAACAATGGTCCTGAAGGGATCATCCACCCTGGATTCCCTGTGTTTCCAGTTCCTATCTGTACCAGTGCACATCCTCTGCTCTAGCCAGATTTATAAGGTAAAATTGGGATCATGATAGTGGGGGAGGGGGAAAAAGCATTTAGGAACTAGAGGAAAGTTGTATGTTTCAGCATTGCTACACTGCACCCTGACTGACTCATCTCCTCCCCGCCACCCTTGCGTAAGGGGATGTCCAATTGCCTACAGATGGGCTTTGGGTCTCCACTGCACACTCCCCCTCATTCACAATGATTTGATTTTGGATTCTGATGATGCCTGATACTTGATTCCTTAGACACCTTGTGATCGCACAGG